AAAAGAGGGAAGTGTGATATCCAACGTCGGGATATCCTGGAACTGCTCGCAACTAACAAATATTTAAGTCATGTTTCAGAGTATCGGATGATTCAAATTAACTTAGATTTTTACGGTTTTGATATTAATCCACCAGATTATTTTTCATAATTTATGAGTTATCTATATTGGTCGTTCACATAAAGACAGTATAATTGAACGAATAAGTTTAGTGAACCGGAAATGCTATATCTTTTATGCAGGTTTGTATTATTTAGTTTGTAAATGGGCTCATATTTTTTGAAACGAATGTTTAGAAGCTTTTTTGCAATTCTGTTTGTAACATATTTTTGATGAAAAATTTGTTAAAGCTACTTCAAACATGAACTAGGTATTAAAAAGATGACCAAGTCCAGATCGTCAGAAACATAGTTGTGCTCAACTAAAATGAAATACGGCTTGGCCATACATTTCGAAACATGCAGATAATTAATAATTATATAATCGTAACGGAAAATAGAATAATGTATATAAATAATGAATATAAATCTTATGGTTGAGACTCTATTCCGTCTTCGAGTCTTCCAACACAATTCAGAGTAATTCTTTAATCAATACGTTGAGTCTAACCTTCGTCTCCAGTGTACGTGTTAAGACTGACTATATCTAATACACAAAGCAAGAGCAAAAGATAAAGCACACAAGAAACGTAAATGTGATAAAACCAGGGGGTTATTGAAAAGGATGTCCATCTAAGTTCTTGACACAACAATTATTTTGGTTCATTCATTGTTTCGTTTAAACCTTACAGTCGCTTACTCACCGAAAAATATTCAAATGAACACCGCGATTAGACGGGGTTTTCTGGAGTGACCGCGGTTTGTTACATCGTAGTTAAGTCTTATTTCGGTACACTCAGACAAGACTGCGGTGCGTCTATCGTCAAAAGCCGCGGTTTCGAGAAACTTCGGTATGACAGAAATGGTTTTTGAGGATTTTAAAACCATTGTTTTTCATGGCATTATATTTTGCAAAGTTCTTAATACAAACCACGATCTTTACATAATCTTGAAAAACATCAATATTTAAACTGTAATACCTATAATACATAGCTATATTTTGGTATCGTTACCTTCTCATAATAGGGTGCCACCACAGTTACAATACATAAAATCACGATTCGATAAAAGAACAGTTTATTTAACGGAAAATAAATTCAGTACCTTTTCACTTATAAAATCATAGATATCACAAATAGATAATTTTCAAAACGAAAAAAAATATCGTTATCGAACTCGAACAAACAGCAGCATTTAGATAATTTGCTCCGTTTACCTAATAATTTATAATAAGTTCATACCAAAAATAATCAATTTACTAAGTCGAAACTATCAAGAAAATATTTGAAATTTCTATAGAATTTAGATGGATGTTACGTAAATGTAAGATTGTATTTAATTAAAAATAAATATAAACATAAATTGAAAATATTAGCCATCGTTTAGATAAATATTTACAATGATGTTCACATGATAAAATATGTTCAAATGTAAAAAATATACACCATTTTCCTTTTTTTAATCGATGAAAATGTGATGCGCACTACCCCAATAGCTCATATTTCCTTTAATAAATAATTTTATATATATATATTCTAAATTGCAATACTAATTGGAATTTTAAATTTTTTAATACCGTATAAGACCGCGGTTTATTTGTTACAGATTTTGATGAATCTGCAGGTTCTTCTAAGTGCCCTTCCATCACGATAGTGTGCCTATATATCAACACTCATGATAATAGAGAAGAAATGTGACTTTATAGATCATGTGTGTAGTCCACTATGAACATGGATATCTTACAAGATTTGACGTAATTATACCGATTGCATAAATTAGTTGGAATATTTTTAATACTCTACAACTAAATAACATACAAGCTTTTATGAGATTTCTCATCATGAATCAGATAAAATACCATATTTTATATTAGCATGAACATTACCATTTACGTCAGTCGAACTATTGAACTGCAATCGTAAGGTAAGGAGTTCGAATCTGATAAGAAGAAAAGGAATATTAAATAGATAGTGATAATATTAGATTGTACCGCAGTATCAGGTCACCATGTTAAGATCATATATCACTCGCGATTATAGTAAGTCAAGAGATACCAGACAGTAGATAGAAGTAATATACCGCTGAAACATGAATTGATTTTTTTGAAAATCATATATAACCGCGATTTGAAGATATTGCGGTTTTAGGTGGTATAAAAAAACTTGCTTGATAAAAGATCTGCCTCTCGCGATTGGTGATAACCGTTCAGAGCTGCAACTATTTTAAACGTAAGTAGTCGTGGTTTTGATCGATATTTTTTTCCGTGGGTAGTTATAATTCTCGATCGAAGGAAAACGAGTTTATAAAAAGTCCTATTTTAATACGATATAAAGCTAACCGAGTAAACGAAACCATTTAGGATATGGTAACAGGAGTGTTAAGTGAATCTACAGTGATCAGCATTAATAACATAATATAAGAGACATCCCAGAAGTCTTTAAGTGACTTTTAACTGCATGAGGGCATGGGTGGGAGTCGGGTGTGGATGTGGGCATCTGTTTTCTCTTAAAACTTACCCACCTCCACCATTACACAGCCACACCCACATCCTCAAGAATGCAGTATTTCAAAAAGTTAAAAGAAGTAGGTAGCGAAGGCGGCCGAAAGCCGTCTGAGCGCACATCTTCTGTTCGCTATGCATTTAGTCCCTGTAATAGCTATCATCATCAAACTTTCCACGACGCTTCCTTAGGTCCTAAGAAAGGTCGACGGGCGGGATGGGGGAGGTGACGTGGGTCAAACTTCACGTAGGTGGTTCTGTAATAGCTAACGTCGCCAAACCATCAATCACACTTCTGTATATACAAAGAAAAGTGGAGAGGGGGTCGGATAGACAAGGTGCTTGAAATTTATATATTTTGTAGCGGGAACTATCGAGGGAACCGCCCCAACTGTCCAATCGCTTTTCAGTTCGGGTCCCGTGCACAAAGTAGACACCAGTGAGGTACGAAAAACCCCAAAAGGATAAGGGCCGCTAGGCCTTCTGTCCCGAGTTATAGGCAATATACTGAAATTTTAGCCTATGACAGGGTATGTAGAAATAAATCGAATGGCGGTATTTCGACCTGAGATTTTGCCCACAGTGAGGTCTATATGGGACTAGAATACCCTGAAAGTTTCAGCTATAAAGAACGTTTCCTTCTCGAGATATTAAAGTCTCAAAAAATCACCTATATCCTACGAAAGATACTAGAGTTTTCTGTTTTTGAGACTTTAATATCTTAAGAAGGAAACGTTCTTTTTAGCTAAAACTTTCAGGGTATTCTAGTCCCATATAGACCTCACTGTGGGCAAAATCTCAGGTCGAAATACCGCCATTCGATTTATTTCTACATACCCTGTCATAGGCTAAAATTTCAGTATATTGCCTATAACTCGGGACAGAAGGCCTAGCGGCCCTTATCCTTTTGGGGTTTTTCATACCTCACTGGTGTCTACTTTGTGCACGGGACCCGAACTGAAAAGCGATTGGACAGTTGGGGCGGTTCCCTCGTATGTGAGAGGGATTTTGCAGTGGGAACTGCACAAGAATTTTTTTGCAGCGGAGACTATACGACAAGAATTTTGCAGCGAGTACCTCCGCTAATACTTTATATATATATTCTTAAACTAACGCTAGGGTGTGAGTCTGGGTGAGGATCCAGATGTGGAGTGCTTATCTAACTTTTACTTGTACCCTCATCTATACCCACCCTTAATAAATCGCTTAGTTTTTTCATACGTAAGATAATAAGAAGTCAGCGTTTATGCATGTACATAGGTTGAATAAGGTAATACTAGCGCACATTCTTATCAGAATGGACGGCTATGGCCGTTTAAACAGGATTTTGATAGTTTCACTTCTCATTGTGTAGCGATTTTCGAACAAATGACTTAATTAGTTAATAGTGTGTATAGTTACATTAAAGTAATATATGTCTATACAACAACAAACAAAAAAACTGTTAATTGTCTTCTTCCTCATCTGGTTGTTCTTGCGCCATATTTAATTTATAATAAATTCCATGTTGTCGAAGTAATTCCTCATGATGACCAGTTTCTTTAATTTGTCCACGATCTACAACACAAATTTTATCTGAATTTCGAATTGTTGATAAACGATGTGCAATTGTTATACATGATCGATCTGCTCGCGCTTGATCTAATGCTTCTTGAACAATTTTTTCACTTTTATTATCTAATGCTGATGTTGCCTCATCAAGAAGAAGAATCTTTGGATTACGAATTAAAGCTCGAGCAATAGCAACTAAAAATCAAACAATTCATAACAATAAATCTTTGATACTTCTAAAAATTTACTTCGCTGTTTTTGTCCACCAGATAATTGACCACCTTTAGCTCCACACGAGGTTTCATATCCCTAAAAAATACCTTTAAGAAAAGAAAAATCATGAGAAAGACTTAAACAAACCTCTGGTAATGATGCAATCAATTCATGAATATTTGCTTTTTTCGCTGCTGCTTCAATGTCATCTTGTGTTATTTGTCGACTATTGTCACCATATGCAATATTCTCACGAATCGAAAGATCGAAAAGAACTGGTTCTTGTTGTACAAGACCAATTAATGAACGTAGCCATTGAATATTTAATGTTTTTATATCATGTCCATCAAGAAGAACTGTACCAGCACATGGATCATAAAATCTTTGTATTAATGCGATAGTTGTTGATTTTCCGCCACCGGATGCACCAACAAAAGCAGTTGTTTCATCAGAATTACAAACTAAATTGAAATGACGCAATACACGAAGTTTTGGTCGAGCTGGATAATGAAATTGAACATCTCGGAATTCAATATGTCCAGTGACTTCCGACTAAATGAAAGATAAAAATTTTAATCAATAATAATTTAAGAATATTTACAAGTTTAATGCCAGATGAATTATTAGGATCAATTTTTGATTGACGGTTATTTAATTGAAAAATACGCCTGGCACTTTGTTTGCCTTTTAAATAATTTGGTATCATAGATACACAACTTCCAAGAGTCAGTGATGTATATGTTATAACGCCAAAAATTCGAAAGACATTTTGAAATTGCATTTCTCCACTTTTAACAAGTGTAATACCATAGCCAAATGCTGTTGCTTGAACTATATAGATATATATAGAGATAGATATATTGAACAACTATTCGGAAGATAAAAATTCTTACTAAAAAACATCAGGGAATTTGAAACAGAATTAGCAAAAGATATATAATGAAGATGAAACATACGATCTCTATAATAAAGATAATGATCATTTTATAGAGAAATTTACATTCAATATATATACCGAAAATCACGATCAAATGCTTCTTCATATAATTGAATAAAATGTTCTTCTTGATGAAGTGAAACAACTGTACGAATATTTTCAATAGCTTGTGTTGCATGCTATAAAAATTCGATGAATTATTTATAAATATATTTCAAAATAAATAGAACATACTTTTCCTCCATCTTCAGCATTCGATGTTGTTTTGTTCTTTTTTCCAGATGCTTTAGAAAGTCGTTGACCTTGAATAGCACCGGAAAAAATCAACAATGGAGTAAAACACAAAATAACTAGTGTAAGCTTCCATCCAGCTGAAAAACTGATTATAAGAGCTACAATTAATGCCCCAACTGTATTGAAAAGTGAAGTAAGTGTAGGTCCAGTAAATCCCTTGAGGGAAGCTGCATCTGATGATAGTCGTGTAACTAATGCTCCCAAATTATTTTCATCCAAGTCAAACCATCCAATTTCTTGTTGCAGCATACATTTAAAAGATAATATTCTCATACGCATTGTTAATTCTTCTCCTGCTTTAGCTAAACTAACTGATGAGACAAACTGGCTGATTGCAGTAGCAACACCAACTAAGAAAAATACATATGTATAAACTCGTATTTGATCTGTTTGTTTTTGTAAATCAGGTTCAGCTAATGCACCAAAAATATTGGAGGATAGTAAAGAAAATGCCTAAAATAAATTATAACAATAATAACAAAATCAATCATCAAATATGTACAAACTGGCACAACTCCTCCACAAATTAGCGAAGCAATTCCACCAAGTAAAAGATAAAACCATTCAGGAGAATTTAATTTCAGAATTTCAAATAAAATTGGCATACGTGATCGAGATTTATTTTCTGTATTCATAGTTGTTTCAACATCATTTCCTAATTCACTAATAACTTCAGATGCAACTGATTTTGTTGAAATAATAGATGAACGTTTTAATATATTCGATAATTGACGACGTATATTATTCGTTGTTGATTTCTCGGTTAGTTTAGTTAATTCTTCTTTATTTTCATCATCTAGATCACTATTGACTTCTGCTTCTTTCTCTTTTTCACTTTGAGCAGTAAATAATTCATAATAAAGTCCATTATGTTGCATCAGTTCATTATGTATGCCATATTCAACAACTTTTCCATGATCTAACCCAAAAATAATATCAGCATTTTTTATTGTACTTAACCGATGTGCTATAACTATAGTTGTTCGACCTTCTTTAGCTTTATCTAATGAGTCTTGAACCAGTTTTTCACCTTGATTATCTGAAGAAGAGAATCTAACCATTGAAAAATGTATATTATTCAATACAATACCTAAAGCTGATGTTGCTTCATCAAGTAGTAAAAGTTTTGGATTGGAAATTAAAGCTCGTGCAATAGCAACTAAAAAAATCAATTCATTTTTTCATATTTATAATATTCATTTTATTTTTACCTCGTTGTTTTTGACCACCACTTAATTTATCACCTGATGATGTTTTATAATTCTAAAAATTAATTAAAAAAATGTTTTTTTCTTCTAATAAATGTTCATAGTTTTACTTGTGGCAATTGCATAATGAAATCATGTGCATTCGCCATTTTAGCAGCAGCAATGATTTCGTCATTTGTTGCATCGAGTTTTCCAAATCGAATATTTTCTTCAATAGTACCAAAAAATAGAACAGGTTCTTGTGAAACAATACCAATATTTGATCGTAACCACTTCAAACTAATTGAACGTATATCTTGACCATCCAATAAAATTTCTCCTTGTTCTGGATCATAAAATCGTTGAATCAATTGAATTAATGTACTTTTACCACAACCAGATGGACCACAAAGTGCTACAGTCTTTCCCGATGGAATTTTTATGTTTAAGTCATTAAGATTCTATTTAAAAAATGAATATAAAATTTCAATCAAAAACATGTCAATTCATATCTTACAGATGCTTCTTGTCGTGATGGATATGTAAAATGAACATTTTTAAATTCAATATCTCCCGTAAATTTCGATGGAATTTTTCCATCATCACTAAATATATTTATTTTTGATTTGCGTTGAATTATTTCAAACACATATCCACCAGAACCGGTTGCTTCCGCAAAAGCTTGTAAATTTGGTGTTAAACTTGTTAATGTACCGGTCACTGCTAAACAAGATATTAATATCTAAATAAAATAATTCTTAAAATAAGAAATTAAAAATTTATAAAATAAATACATACAACAATCCAATGACCAGCAGAATAATTTTGGCATTCAGTTCGAATTAAATATGGACCATACCAAAAGACGATCGCAACACCACCATTCATAATAATACCAGATAATGCTCGTGTTGTTCCTATCATTATACCTTTTTGAATCCCAACACGTCTGCCTTCGGTCAAATTCTTTTCATATCTATGTTAAGTAAAAGATTTTTTTTCTTTATTTCAAATCGAATGAGCATCAGATATCAACTAATCATAAATAATTCGATTGAAAATAAAAGTATTATATACAAAAATGCTATAGAATAAAGAACTGTCAGATTAGTGTACATAATATAGGAATTCTTCATTAGTTTGATAATGAGTGCTATCAGAATTAGTGGTATTTCTCGAACGGATGCTTCTTAATTATCTTAAAATGAGCTGTATCCTAACTATAAAATATCTGCCTTTCTTTTCTAGGCTTTTATCATAAATATGTTGGAATAATACGAAAAAAATAGAATATTATCATTAGAAATGTACCCTAAATATGAATCTATTTCTGTAGAATAATTTCAATATCTGGGTGAATTATGGATTTTCACAGAGTAAAAAGAAATTTTATTTGATTATCAATATTTAATTTGCATATATATAGACTTCATTGAGTTTTAGCTATAGGATGTAATTGTATTTAATCTTAGATAATTATTCCAAGAGAATATTTTTTATTTACCGTTGTATTTCTTTAGCTTGTCCATTAAATGCTGTTACAGTTCTTATTGCGCCTAAAACTTCTTGTGCAATTGAGTTTGCTGTACTATAAGCTTTTAATTCTAATATAGTAAATTTAACCATAACCTGAATTGAGATTTTTAATATATTAATAATTCATTAATATTGTATTTTGACTTACTCGAATTAAAATATTAAATGTGAGGATAATCAATGGCGAAATCGAAAGAAAAACAAGCGTTAACTTCCAACCGGTACAAAGAGCAAATATCAATAGACCAATTATTCGCGATAGCAAACAAATAAAATCAGCTACACGAAAACCAATACCCTCTCGGATATTTTCAAGATCATCAACAAGACGACTGGATAATTCACCTATATTCAAAATTGTTTTACACATCGAATAAAACAACAAATTACAAACCGGCATTTCGACAATCAAACCAACCCATTTCTTGTCTCATGATATTTTCAAAAAGTGCATACCGGATTCGACGTGATTGTTGTTCAGATGCAATCATCTAAATTCAAGGTATATTCTTATTATATATATATATATATATATATATATAAATGAAATATCATACCCAAGAAGCATAAGCTATCCAATAAACAACAATACTCGATATACCTAATGTTACATACCATTTAATTAAACCTTGAATTATTGAGAAAGGACCACCAGTCGAAACTGGATTAGTATAACTATAATCAAAAGACAAAGATTCAAGAAATTATTATATATATATATATATACCAATTAGTAGATGTTGTATTCTGTTTGGCTGTATCAAGTAAACCATTCATTACACTTTGAAATAACCACATCATCATTGGCATCAATGCACCAGTTGCCAAACCTAATTGAAAATAACAATTCATACAGAAAGAGTAGCAGAATAAATGTTTGAAACATACCTGCAATAGTACCGAAAATCATAAGTAATATGTCCAGTTTATCAGCAAATTTATACTGAAAACAGAATGATATGAAAGATATTTATTTGAATGTAATACATACAATTTCAAATGTTTTTAGTTTTGGTCCTGCAGGTTTCTTCTTGACTACAAGTTCGTTCTCCTTTTTTTCTTTTTTAAATAATCTCTTAATAAAACTTTTTTTCAAAACCTCTGGAGTTGGTGCTATCGGATTATTAGCAACTGCGCCTGTCGTATTATTAGTTTCTTGTTCATTAAATTCATTGATTGTATCTTCTCTCATTGAACCAACTTTTGTATCCGATTTAATGTTACCATTTAATGCTGACATAATTAGGAAAATGTTTTATTTTGTAATTTAGACACCGCGACAAACGAATAAGCTGCCTATTTATACGATAGCAATTTTCACGACTTTTTTTGTCTTTCTCCCCTAAGCACACGCATCAATATTGTAGAGAATACATCAAATTGCGCAATGTTAGACATTGCAGCAACCTATTTCGCGCCGGAAACAAATCCGTCCAGTTCCGGGAACACGATCAACAAATAACATAAGAGACCCACTCGAAATTGATCGAGTTCGACCAATCCCGGAATCAGACTCCCCTCCGCACCTGCATATGTTGTGTTGTACTGGTAAGATATTCCATTTGGACACGATCTAACTTCGTTATGGAATTTCGGGAATTGAGTCGAAACGGAAATGAACGGAATTCCTACCGATTTCAGAAATTGACGGAAGTCGATCGATTTCGAGTAGGTCTGGAATGTTATATGTCGATCGAGTTTCCGAAAGTGAATGGAATCGATTCCGGTGTGGAACTGATTCCTGGAATGTTCAACATTGTAGAACACTCTAAATAAAATAGGTGGTCTACTGAACTCCCAAAAAAGGTTTCGTCGTAACGAAAAAGTCTCCAGACATGTTCAAAATTTGAAAAACACAATAAAGAATTCTACGAAACCATTAGAGGAACTTCCTGTGTGTCGAGGGGAAGAACCTTTACCTACGAAACCTTTTTTTAAGTTCAGGACACAAAAAAAAGGTTTCGTGGAGAAATACGAAACCTTTAGAGTTTCACATGAAACCCCAATAGTTTCGTACTAAATCCTAATGTTCTTGTGTAGTTTAATACGAAACCATGAAAGTTTCGTATTTCTCTACGAAACCTTTTTTTGTGTCCTGAACTTAAAAAAAGGTTTCGTAGGTGAAGGTTCTTCCCCTCGATACACGGGAAGATCCTCTAATGGTTTCGTAGAATTCTTTATTGTGTTTTTCAAACTTTGAACATGTTTGGAGACTCTTTCGTCACGACGAAACCTTTTTTGGGAGTTCAGTAGACCGCCTATTTTATTTAGAGTGAATAGGATGACTGCTCGATATAATCGTTCATTTTGGCGATTTTTACAGATTTTTGCAACAAATCGCGATTAATTTGCGACTTGTTTCTACATAGTCAAAGCTATCCGTTTGTATCTTAGCTTTATAAGCTTTGTTATTTTTCATTTAGTCTCACATACTGCGGTTCTCCGTCAATATAAAATGCCTTTCTTAAGTTTGTAGTGATCTTAATTTTCAGAAACCAACGGTTCATCAGAATGAAAACAGACATAACAGGCCTACAACGAGGGCAGTCTTGAGGGTGTGCTTGTAAGCTGAGGAAGGTTTTACTCACACCTATACCCACCCGCATCGACACCCACACCCACACGCAAACCCCACAACCGCACTCACCCACACCCACACTAGGGTGTGGGTGGGGTGGTTGTGTTTATTAATGCTCCTATACTACTATCCACACTCTTAACTTAGATTGATCATAAGCTACTAACAATTAAATTCACTAAACAAACCAAATCGACATCTATTCTCTTTTTTTCTAATGTATGTCTGTTTTTTTTTAAATATATTTTATTTATAGAATTTTTAAACAAGATTTCTTATAGCACAATAAATCATTTGTTAATAAATGTGTAGATTACATTTTAGTCACATTTATTGATGTTTTTATCTTATCTATATACACATGGTTGAAAGTATTATTATTTCAGGAAGTACTGCTATATATCGAAACAGAAAACATGAGAAATTTTAGAAATGGAAGCTCATGAAAAACGCGGTTTACTCATACTAATTGCCGAAACTTGAAAGAACTTCAGGTACGAAACTCTTGGAAGTTTTGATTTTTCAGTAACATACAGTATATAAAAATCGATTTAGCAAGTAAAGTTCCAAAACAACTTACTACGAAATAGTTTATTTTTTCGTCATTCGTTAAAATACGATCAATAGTCAGTATGACGACCGTTAGTGTACTTCACTCAGCGAAGTCGAGATCGATACGAATACAGAAGAGTTTCAAATAATTCAGTGTTTGTTTCCATGCTGATCAATACGTTTGCAAGATAAGTGTTGAGTATGTTTACAAAATATTGCTTACTTTCAGCTTCTCATAATATTTTTTCCACATCATTTTTGGATATAGATACAACATTTTCTGCGTTAATCTGATTTTATCTCGTCATTTGAATTTTGTTGAGAGTCTTTGACTCTTATAGTTACTTCAATTTTTATGAGATATTTACTTTATGCAGATTAATACTTCAAACTTACCTGTCGAGTCCCTTAAGCAAGGACAAAATCATGATCGTAAGTATTGCTTGGAATTCATTTAATAAAGTCACCCTTTATTAGAATGACTGCGAGATAATTTTATCTTAACACTAGTAAATAATAGTAATAAATATACCGCAGTAAAATAGAAGTTGCCGTAAAATAGAAATAGAAAACATCTTAGTATTATCTAAAAAAAGGCGGTTTACAGAACCTTTGATGGTCCTGCATTCTATCCGAGTCCAGAACCCTCAAAATAGTTTCGTATAGAGAAAAATGGTTCTAATATCCTTTGTAAAACCCTTTCTTCTTGTCCAAAACCATTCTGAGGGAAATTCTAGACTCGGATAAAATGCAGAACCTTTTAGAGCCTAAAAAGATTCTTCAAAACTCCTTCTTTTCAGAGTACAAGGCAAACAATCGTAAATACAAGGTAGACCTGTTTATTTGAAACATAAAGAGTATCAGTATGATGTGTTTCAGAAGTAGTAAATTGTAAAATCGAAAAAGAACAATAACACTACAGCAAAAGCTGAAACAATTGCTGAAAGTGTGATGGTCGAATGTCCAGTCCCCAAGAAACGCGAACAATGTTTCCTTTGATACCGAGCATTGGAATAGTGTAAAATACGAATCCACATTTAAGTTCCTTAAGTTTTTCGTAGACTACATCACTGACACGAAGAAGGGCGATCGTAGGACATTGTTTATCAAAACTTATAACTTCAACTTCTTTCGACTCTGCTGATTCCAACAAATTTCGATAAGATGCTATGATGGGATAAGTGTTCAACGCCTCCGGTGAAATTACGTACTTTAGTGCTTTCACCATCAAAGCATGCGGATACTTTGGGTCAGATCCACCGCGAAGTTCCTGTCCGCCCACGCCCTCAATAAATGCCTTTTTGGGAATGGTGTGCTTCATCCATAAAAATCCTGTATGTCTTGGACCATAAAATTTATGTCCTGATCCACAGAAACCGTCAATATCCCATTCTTTGATCATGTCGACAACCATCCTTCCAAACGTTTGTGTCGTATCCACGAAAATACGGATGTTCGGATTCATAGCGCGAAGTTTATTAACAATAAGTTCAACTGGAAGGATTAATCCACTTTCATTATGAATATGAGGAAAAACGACAACATCAGGTGGTGAACGCAGACGATCAAAATCCACCCATTTTCCAGACAGATCCGGTTGGATTACCGTTTTTGTCAACGACATGTCAAGACTTTCGATAGTTAACGGAATCGATGGGTGATCAATTGATGTATAGACAATGTGAGGATTTTTAATGTCAGACACGGCTGCACGAATCCACATATTGATCGACTCAGTAGCAGAAGACGTAAATACCACGGTACCAGTCTCGATACCAAGAACATATTTTACTTGTTTTTCCAGATCAACCCATTCATCCGGTACATCATAATTTGACGTTTGATAATGGTGCAACAAATGAGCAACCGAAGGGAGAATGTAAGTGTCTCGACTTGCATCAAAGTTCGGACGAGTCGTATCCCCGGTCCAATTTTCGAGTTCGCTTATTTCCCACCAATTCTCTTTCAACGCCTTTGCGATTACAGGATTTCGAATAAAGTACCGAATCAAAATACTGGCACAAAGGAAACCTTCAATTGCTGGAAGAAATCCAATGGTTCCGCGAACCTTTCCAACAGGGCCATTGTGAGGGGCATTCGAGTAGACTCCGACGATATGAGTTGGCTCGATTCCCATATCATTCAGTCGCTTCCGAACAACCGTTGCTAAAGGACAAGGCACTTCACTAGTTAAATCTCCGTAGCAAAAATTCCAAGGGTTCTCCTTTTTAGCAGCTCCTAGTGCAGTAACGCAGGGAATTTTCCGAATCTGACACTCTGCTAACATGGCTACCTTGGTTTTCACATCATCAATGCAATCAATGAGCGCATGAATTCTATCCCACGGAATAGATTCTTTTAACGTTTCCGGTGTTAACTGATAATTACATGCTTCAATGTTAATATCTAGAATTTTCTGTAAGTGTTCTGCCATTACTTCGACCTTGAGTAGACCAATGGTATCTTTTCTTGCTGGTATTTGGCGATTGATATTACTGATATCGACAGTATCAAAGTCAACGAGAATGAGTTTGCCAATACCAGACCGAGCTAAACACTCAGCCACATGTGAACCAACACCGCCAACGCCAATGACAGCAACGCACTTGTCACTTAGTGACTTTACCTGCTCTTTTCCGTACAAAGCCTCGATTCGTTCCAATGCCATCCGTGTGTTTTTCTTTTTGATAACTTTTCCTACTTAGAAATTTTTAATTATATACTTTTTTTACTGTGACTTTTTAGTACTATTCTGTTACTATTACATTTTCTTACTCTTACTTTCTTAATATTACATTGTTGAAATCGCTTTCCTGATTTTCTTATTACTCAACTTTCTTAAGATACACGAAAATCAAAGTTGTAGTGACAGTTTTCTTTTTGATTTTCATACACCATTCGATAGAGAATTTCAAGGCTGTCAAGAATATGTGTGCCTTGCGTTTTTTAAACTTTTTTCCGATTGAAAAATTGAAAAAAGTCTGAAGGAGTCGAAAACA